CCTGCACCTGTGCCCTGCGGTTTGGAGGCCGGTCCCTGGAGAAACGCTGGTCGCCCGTCTGCTCTTCTGCCGTCCCTAAAATGAGCTAAACAAAAATCACCCGGGCTCTGTTTTTCTTCGGCAGCTAAGAGCGTTGAACCTGCTGTCTGCAGTTCGTTGGGGAGCTGCTCAAACCGCTGGTAACGTTTAGCTTTCGGTAGTCAGCGCCCCGCTTCAGCGAATGCTGGGGAAGGTCTCGCCTCAGGCTCTTTTCCCTTTCCGTGCCCCCGGCCTTGCAGCGGTCCCTCACTCCCGCGGAGCGAGGCCTCGGATACAGCCCTCTGCCGGTTTCCGTTTTGAGAAGGATGTTCATCTCCCGTTGTTACCCAGCAAAGCCAGCTCCCCTTCTGATAGCCCGGCCTCAGTCATTCGTGCAAACAAAATAATGATCCCTCATGTTAACGCCTCGTTGGTGGGTAGTTTTGATGAGGATCTTAAATACCAGTCTTCTGCCAATAGTTTAAGAAAAGAAAAAAAAACAAACACAAAAACAAACAAAAAACAAAACCAAAAGGCAAACCTATTACCATTAGCTTCACTTTTCCCTTTCTTCTTCCTGTGCAAACTGAAAGATGTTTCAAGCGAGTATAGAAAGGTCGAGATGGAAGAAATCTGGGGTGTACATTGAAAGTGCTGTGAGTGAAAGAAATTCATGATCTTATTATAAATGAATGATGGCATGTGCTGGGCATGCTTTTCAGTTTTTCTGTTGAGCAAAAGCTTATTGATAGTTTTATGATATGCTACTGAAAAGATTATCTCTTACACTTTATAATTTGTAGATAAGAATATAAAATGTAAATGCAAATTCAGATTACCTTGTGTTTTAAAATAAAACGAGGGCTGAGACTGCAGCCCAGAGATTTGGAGACAGCAACATATGAGCATAGTAGAGTTGTCTCAAAATGAAGTCTTTAAAAATTTTAAGAAGCTCTGAACTTTTTATTATAGGGTAGTCTAATGTTGTGTCTTCCCCCTTGTCCTTAATGACTGTTGCAGTGCTTCTTGTTAAGATAATTTCAATTCGCTTATAATAACTTTTCCAAGATTACTGAATCATGTTCTCAGATTTTAGCTGCATTTTAACGTACTATTTTTTTTCTCGTAACCTGCACCAAAAAGCAAAGAGTTAAAAACAAATCCTGCCAAAGTGTGTGAAAATCTAATAGGCAAAGATACATTCACTCTGAGTGTAAGGATGTGTATTAAATGACGTAAGCACAAAGCAGAGAAGGGATAACAGAAAGGTAAAAATAGCTGTATACTTATTTTTAATCTCCCTCTAATTTTGGAGGAATTGAATAAAACCTGCTTGAGAACAGGTGACTCATTTAGAGTTGGTGAAAGTGACAAAATCATGGTGAGGATTATCTGAAATTAATGCCGGACTTTGATCATTACTGTTTACTTTCTAGTTTGCATTCTCTGTGATGCATCACATCTGGCTCGTTGTTTTAACTTATGACTTTCAGCTAATACTATCAGTCAGAATGAGGGCAGTATTTTTAAAATTTCAATTAAGTGATTTGGGAGGAAAAGCCCACATAATTTGTGTTTCAATGGAATAATAAAACTGCAGAAAAATTTGTTATATGTATGCACTGAAGATTTCATATAGTTATTTTAAAATGTATAATGATTCATAGGGGTAACTAAAGAAATACATTTAATCAGTATAAATTTTCCTCTCAAAGGCCACTTCGATACTGTATTTTTAATTAACATACGTACATCATCTGTATGTTTGCTATTCTTTGAAATTACTCTATTTACAATGGTAAACATTAATTATAGTGAAAGGAGTTAGCTATTGTAAAAGTAACTTAGGAGATTTAGGTTACAGGTTGAAATTAACTCATGTGGTAGTAACAGAAATAAATTCTTACAGATGTTCGTTCTTCAAATGAATATTCTTTTTGAAAGAAACTTTTAAAAATAAGCCAGAGTAGTGATAAAGTAATCACTAACATTGGTGGTTATATTCTTAATAAGAATTGAAAATCCTGTTTTAAAGTTTGATGATTGACTTGCCTGCTCCTCTGCCATAAACTTCGTAACAGTCAAAGACCAGAAATTCAGATTGTCTTGGTTCCCAATATTGTAGACCTTTTTTTTTGAAGTTGATGGTCAGTAGTAGTAGTGAAGAAGAAACATTCTTTATCTTCTGTAAGTTAAGCTTAACATTATGAGTTGGTCTTTGAGATAATTGGTTTGGCTGTGTAGGGAGGTATAGACTGATACTGACACAGCCAGCTCTTGAAATGTTTGTTTATAGGAGAATTCTAGCTATGTGCATCTGTGGGAACCCATCTGAGATCTGTCTGTCTTGTGGAGTACTGAAATTACTCCAATGCTTTAAGTTTGGAAGATCAACTGGCTTGAAAGACTATCAACACTCTAGTGCTGAAAGAGTTTCTCCACTAAAGAGTGGGGGAGAGCAGGAGGGATGCTCCCCTTAGAGCTTTACTGACTTTGCAAGAGAATACATCACTGCTTTCCCCTGTTCAGATTTACATTGTGTGAAGCAGCCACTATTTAATACACTCTACTGAGAGTACTAAGCAAAACCAAGTTTATCAGCGAGTCCCTGTTTCAGTATCCTTCCTTTCAAGGGGAGTAAGAAAAAAGCATTGCAGCCTGCCTTGAAGACATTTACACTGTTAGACAAGCAAGGAGGGAATGAATTTCAGAATCCCAACACTCTTAAGATACTTTGTTAATCTTAGCTGAATTTTATTAAGTCCAGGATAGAAATGAATATGTGTTCATGGATACACTACTACCAGAATAGTGTATGCTACTACTCTGCATGCAGTCACGTACCATGCATGCAGGGAGGGAGGGATTCATTAGAACATTCATGTTTCTGATGATCTTAAGTGCAGGTTGATAACAGTTTTCTAGTACTCTGACTCATTTTCTGTTACCTGAAAATGAGAGGTAGGCTTGAACAGAGTCAAGGTAAAAACATCATTAATACAGAGTTAACACTGCAGCATCTCATGTCTCTCAGTGTCAAATTTTGCAAAACTTAAGTTTCTGAAAAATCATTAATTGAAGCACTCGGGTACATACTTGCATGCCTTTACTTCTGATGTATTGGAGCTGGAAACAGCCGGTGGGAATTACCTGATGCTGAGTGCAAGCACCTCAGTATCGGATAGTAGCTCTGAGACCTGTGAAGTTGAGATTATCTCTGTATTCTTCCTACAGAGAGCCTGGATGTGCCAGAGTTACCTCTCGTATGATTCTATTACAATCATTTTGGTTGGAAAAGACCTTTGAGATCAAGTCCAACCATTGCATCGCACTGCCAAGTCCACCAAACCATGTCCCTAAGCAACACATCTACGTGTCTTTTTAAATACCTCCAGGGATGGTGATTCAACCACTTCCCTGGGCAGCTTGTTCCAATGATTGATAACCATTTTGGTGAAGAAATTTTTCCTAATACCCAATCTGAATCTCTACTGGTGCAACTTGAGACCATTTCCTCTTGTCCTGTTGCTTGTAACTTGAGAGAAGAGACCAATACCCACCTGGCTCCAACCTCCTTTGAGGCAGTTGTAGAGAGCAATAAGGTCTCCCCTCCTGTCAGCCTCCTTTTCTCCAGGCTAAACAACCTCAGTTCCCTAAGCCGCTCCTCATAAGACTTGTTCTCTAGACCTTCACCAACTTCTTTGCCCTTCTTTGGACACATCCAGCAAAGCTGTGTTTGAATCCATAGGGGTGCAGAAACAGGATGTGGGCTTAGACAGGGGCTTAGACATCTCTTCCTAGCTCTTGTTTGGAGCTGTGTGGAGGCTTGCAGCTCTTGGAAACGTACCTTGCTCCTGTTGTTTGTCACCGTCTGCCTTCTCTCTTCTGACCCATGTTCTGTGAGCCAGTGGCTCAGTTATCTAGAATCTCCTCCCCCAGATTACACTAGAAGTTGGGTAAGAGAAGATGGACCTCCTCTGAAGGAACAAAGCCTTCATGAGCTCACTCTGCATACTAACTGGACCCATGTTCTCCTACCCCCAAACCCACTTACTTCCCTCCTCTTCTATTTCTTGTTTCCCTGTTTGGGTGTCACCTGTTCCTCTGTTGCTTGTTACAAAACCTTGTTTTTTGCCTGGGCCCTCCACCTTTGTTTTGCGTTTATCCTACTGTTATTCTCCTACTGTACTCTGCCCCTCAGTATGGTCTCCTGATGAGTGCCCACCTATATAATTTACTTCATTCAAAAGTGAAAAAGCAAAGTCTCTTCAGAGTTGTTCTAATTAATAATGAAAAATGAACCTTAATTATTTGAGGGAAATCAACACCTGTGTCTTCATGAGACTCATCAGATCTTGAGGCAATTAAAGGACGAGGTAGAACACTTGGTTGGCCTTCAGCTTTGCAGCAGAACTGGTCATCTGCTGTCTCTTCAGATGCTGCAGAGGTTGGAGGTTTATGTGGTGCTTGTTGCAGACAACTGTGGTATCAGTTTATTATATTTATGGTAGTCATTGTATGAACTTAGTATTGTGTTCTGTGTTTCTACTGCTGTGATATACATATGCTGTCAAGTTAAGTTTTATTGGGCTGTTTTTGTAATGCTCTGTCCGCAAAAGCTAGCGAGACCGTGATAGGTGTATTGCTAGTGGCTGGTAATTAAAAACCAGTTGTTTTCCTTTCTGTTCCAGGCTATTGATGAGCCTCCCTATCTCACAGTGGGCACCGATGTGAGTGCGAAGTATAGAGGAGCCTTCTGTGAAGCCAAGATTAAGACAGCAAAAAGACTTGTCAAAGTCAAGGTATGTGATTTTCCTGCAAATGCTTTTTTTTTGGGGGGGGGGGAAGTCATCAGTGTTCAAAATAGCACAAGGTGAAACTTCTTCATAGTCTCAAAGACAGCTAATAGGCTGTCCTTTTCTTTGGAGGCTGGCAATGCTGTCTTTGAAATAACAGTAAGCTTATTTTTGTTGGGAGGGGTTTCCCCCACCCTCGTGCAATTAAATATGTTCTGTTTCTTTCACTGCTTTGTCATCTACTTGCATCCAGTATTTGTGGCCTTCAGTGCCATAGGCTGACCTTACAGTAATTGCTCAAAATATGACATATGTAGGCTTAAGTATGGGAGAATGTTATCAGAAGATAGCGAAAACTCCTCAAAGTAGGTTTAATATGGTTTCTTTTACTTCAGGAGCACAGGTTGCTGCCATTTAGCAGTGGCAGCTAGATAATGCTTCAAGAATAAGATGAAACCCTGCCATCTTCCAACAAAGAGTTGGCATATTGAGTCCTACAGAATAGCAAGCAGGGGATCTCACCTAATCTTTATGATGACTAGTTAATGACTGAACGAATCAATATAAGCCACATGCAGTACAAAATAAAGTTGTAGAGAGGGAATAGAAGAGCTACATTTTAACATCCCTTGGAAATTTAAAGTATCATTTCTAGAAATAAAGAGAACAATGTTTGGGCTTGTTTTTATTACATAGTAAGTCTACAGTGCAAAATGGCCGTTTGGGTAATGTTGTCCTAAAAGCTTCTAATCTGGGAGCAGGTACTATTTTTCTGCTCTGCCTCTTAACCTCATACAGAAATATAACAGAGCAAGGATCAAAAGCACTTGCGAAAAATAAATTAGATTGTTGGTCTGCAACCGAGTTATAGCAGCAGAATATTTTTCTTATATGTGCTGTAAATATAAGTGAAAATGTGTGAGTTGTGAGTGGTGATAATCTGATATAGAAGTGCCTCTGCTACAAACTGTCATGCATTGCTTGAATCTGCCCTCATGCTGTGGCTGATTTTTGCCTATAGTTTGTATGAGGGGGAGAGCAGGCTATCTCCAAAAGCCCTGGTGGGAAGGACTGTTGTCACTTATTTGATAATAATGTTAACTATAACAAGATGTTAGTCTTAAATCTAACATCTTTAAAAAGTCTTTAGAGCAAATCAGTGGTCTTTTTCATTTCATTAGTCATAACTCTTAGCAGCATCAGCTGGTCTATGCTTTACAGCACCATTGAGTTTAAGCGACTAAGTATTGGTATTTAAGATGTAAGTATTAGTATTTAAGTACAGGAATTGTGTTGTGCCTAGATTAGTGAAATCTTAACATCTTTCAGCTCTTTAGAGAGCTTTCAGCCCACCTTCTTAGATGGCCACTTGCACTTACTGATAAATATTTTCTTAAGGATTTATTACTAGCAGTTTGGTCACTGCAATGTTTTACAGAAAGATAATGAAATGGAATAGAATTTTTACACGAAGTTGTTTGTGAAAGCTGTACCTAAAGCCCTGTGGATTCAAGTTTGCTTGTGTGTGTCTTTGCTGTCACTGTACAGCTTAGGGCAGTTAAGCCCCAGTACTGTTGTTGCTTTGTAATGTGATTGTGGTTGAGTGGGGTTTTTTTGTGTATGAGTGCAGTAACAAGGTTTGTTTACATTGTCTTTCCTCCACCAGGAATGTATATTCCCTAAATTTAACAGTGACCCCTTGATTTTCTCTAAAAATCTTTTCAGCTTTTTCTGGCACGTGCAGGCTTTCCCCAGTATTAGCTCTAACCAAGTTTATTATTAGCAGGTGTACTATGTTTGCTGCATTTATTTTCCACTTGTTTAACAGTTTCTTCTGGCCCCAATATATTTTATGCCCTAGTCTCCTAGAACTACTAGAGGAAAAGGAAAGTCACTTAACTTCATAACATCACTTTTAGTTTGAAGCTTTCATTTAAGTTTTATAACTAGATGCTCTGAAAGGAGGATGGCAACAAATTTTTTTCAATATGGAGTATGCCATCTTCAGGCAAGTAAAATACATTTAATTGTGTCTCCTTTTACCCGCTTTCTTCTTCTGTTGAATTCTGCTTCCTAGAATATTTTCAAGGATACCTTCTTAGTAACTTTTCCATCACCAGTACAATTTAATAACTTTATTCAATTTAAAGCAAGTGGTATGTATTTATCACTTCAGTATCAATAGGTACTGTATTTTACAGTTTAGCAGTCTTTGGCAGGTTCTGTACACGGTACAGAATTTTACATTAACAATGTAACTGTGTTACACACTTTGTCATGGAAAGCAGTAAAACTTACGATTTGCCTGGACTTGTGAAAAGTATTGAAGGCGGTACAAATCTGACTTCAGGGCGAGACTTTCGGTGTCAGAAGAATGGTAGTCCACTTCATCTTTATAGAATCTGTTATAGTTTTTTCTGGAGAGCTATTTAAGCTATTTTGATAGTGTCTCCTAAAAGAATTAGCACCATTATCCACACCCACTTATATTTGGGCACCCTCCACAGAAGGTTCAGAAGAAACTGTTTTCTGCGTAGGTATTTATTAAACAGAAACTAGTGAAGCATCTGCTGTGTAGAGCCTACCAGGACTGTCTTTTCAGGATGGCGAAGAACAGGGAAATTCAACTGAATCTAAACAGGTTGATGCGGATGCTGAATGTCTTAATCTTTTTGCCTGGGACAGAAAGGATCCACACTGACAAATACTGTGGGAATTAAACCCCACGCTAACAAATACTGACATCACTTTTCTCAGCTTCAGGAAAGACCAGTGGTGTTCCACTGAGTTTGAAGTTTGAATATTTCTGTTAATAACCAGTATTTTTGAGTACGTATGAATATCTCAAGAAGCAAAAACTGTTGGTATCAAAAATCTCCTCAGAAACAGTCAAAGCCCCAAGGCATCTTTAAAAAGAAAAGCCATTCTAGAATACACAATAGCAATTTGCTTTGTTTACCTTTCATCGTAGTACATTGTGGCTGGCTCATGGTTTTGCATAGAGTTCCTTTTTACTATAAAATACATTTAAGATAATTACAGAAGGTAAGTAACAGATGTCTCTAAATCAGAATTGATTTACTGGGTATTTCATGTGAGTCAGTAGTGACCACAGGTTTCATATTACTTTGCATCTGAACTAAACTTTTGATTTCCAAATAAATCCCCCAAAAGAGAGGAATAAATACTGTATCTGTCAGGCTGAAGTTCAGAAGGGTAGTATTTGCTCAGTTAATTCCTAGCCTGAATCCTTTGTCTGGCTTTCAGGTTACAAAGTATGATTTTGTCTCTTTGGTGGACAGAAAGTATTTGTCATCAGTAGGTGGGATGATGCAGCTGTAAAAAGAATGTGCTTTCACAACAACATGCTGTGGCTCTAACAGAAGATGGACAGAATGACTGAAGTAACACCTGGAAGGCATTTAAGCATTTTAGTGCATTTGTTTTCTAATGAGCCGATCAAGGTAGGCTCTCCTCAGTCCTGGTTGTGGGTGCTGTTCTCAGCTGTTTGCTCCTTTCAAAGTTTACAAAACTCCTTAAAGTCCCTTCCTGAGGAGGCTAGGTAGGAGAATTGGTGTGAGATCACGCTGTTGTTCTGAAGGGAATTTTTGCTATTGCTGTGCGCTACGGGGAAACTCTCAACAATAGTGAGAACATAACCTTGGGTACACTTGTGAACTAAGTCCTCAGGTATCATGGAGGATTGCTGTGGTTGAGAGGTACTATTACATGGCTGAATCTCATGTTACATTCTTACTTATTGTGAATACTAAATAAAACATCATATACTTACACCTAGCAAGTGTGTTCTGGTGAACATCAGAACATCGTTTGTGTGTGGTAATAAAACGTGCATATGTACATGAAATGTAATGCCAGAATCTTCTCAGGTTCCTTGAATTTTAAGACCAGAGTGGAAATAAAACTTCAGATGTAATTGATAGGAGAATCCCGTGACTTTCAGTGTGGCCAAGTTAATTTTGAGTTAAATGAATGGTGCATATCTGTAACACCTGATAGAGATAATTTAAGATTAAGTTTGAATTTCCAGACCATTTTTCTGCTGAGGACAGTATGTGTAGGATTAAAGACACAGCCAATGACACAGGAAATTACCTTGGAAATACTTACAGGATTTACTTATTCCAGTTTTGAAAGACTGAAAAGTTAGCCATCTGTACATTTACTTCCAGTTAACTAGCAGCATGTAGGCTAGGCTGATGTTAACTGAAAGGCTGTTTGGGTTCATTGTGTTTAGTTGACAGCAGTGTGCTGTAATATTGTGCGAGTCTTTTAACCGTGAGGGAAATGCACTTTAATTAGCAAAAGAAAAAAACCCCATGATACAGGGTTAGGTATAGGCTATAGGCTAAAAGTGTTTGATTTCAAAGCATTGAAATATAAATGCTTCCTAAAAACTATTTATGCTCAGAACTCTTGAAGCTTTCTCCTTTCTTTGTGTGGTACTAGAGCAGTACAATTCAAATCATTAAGAGAACTGCAGTGATTGTTTTGAGCCATTAATCATTGCTGCTAAACTGTTGTTTGTCCCTTCCTTTAGAGGTAATGGTTCTATTCTGAAAGATAATATTTTAGAAGTTTTGATGACTGAGAAATTGTCTCCTCTTATTTCTAAAATATATGAATTAAACCAGATTTCAGCAAGTGGAATGATTGTGGTGACTAACTGTAAAATGAGAGTAAGAGAAGGGCGATTGACATCTGCATGTGCTTATGCTGCTCAATTGTATCAAATGATTGTCAGTTGAATTATATTTTTTAGGTAACCTTTAGACATGATTCTTCAACAGTGGAAGTGCAGGATGACCACATAAAGGGTCCCTTAAAGGTAATAAATTTGTTTCCTATTTTGCTAACACTTTGAAAAGCATTCTTTTTAAGTATTTGACATAAATGTGTATATGCAGTATGGGGTGAAAACGGAAGGTTCAGTTTATACACAGGGCAGATTAGGATCATGAAGCATCAAAAGTAATGCTGCAAAGCTAGAATTAGTACACTCTTCATGTTAACTTTTTGGTTTGTATTTAAAGGGTATGCAGCATACAGGCTGACACAAGCCTCTATTCTTTTTTGGCCTTAAAGTTAAGAAGTTTGGCTGGCTCTGATTTTTAGTCACTGTTGCTTTGGAAAACTCAAGCTGGAGAATTTGATGGGCAAACTCTTATACAAGGGAATGACATCACTCAAATTGGTTCTTGTTCCCCACCTGCTGGCAGGAAATAATCAGCTCAGTTGCCTTATTTTAGAGGAATGAAAGCTTCCAGGGATGCAAATATATTCAAGTGAAACTGGAAAAGTATGATATATTTAACATAGAAATAGGTTAGAAATTAACTCTGCTAAATATAACAGTGTTAACTTCATTGACTGTTCTAGAATCTCTCCAGTGCTAAGTGGCTTTTGTGTTTTAGGTAGGAACTGTTGTGGAAGTTAAGAATCCAGATGGAACTTACCAGGAAGCTGTTATCAACAAATTAACAGATGCCAGTTGGTACACTGTAGGTAAGAGAAATAGTTAGTTATTTGAATAAAACTCATGACTTTTTTATAAGCCTGTGACCTGGACATGTCTTAAGCATGGTGAGAGAGAATTTTTTTGGAGATGCTTAGGTATTCAAAGTTTGTATTAAACAAAAAAAACCCAAACAAAAAACCACAAACGCACACAATCTGAAACTTCTTATTTTGGCTTTTTATAAGAAACTGTACCCATCACAATGTGAAATTGGGTCCCCAGATAAAGACGTAGTGAATTGCTCTATAATTGGTAACTGCTTCTTGAATATTTAATATACTATTGTTAAATATTCTGAAGCAAAGTATATTGTCATACTTCCTTTAAAAAGGAAAAGAAGTGCTTTTAAAACACAAGTTGCAATACTTATTTTTCCTTACTCTCAGACTTAGTTGCTGTAAAAACAGACATAGCTTGTTTTTAAAAAAAGTGTTTTCCTGTTTGTTTTCCCTATTTTCTAATGTGACATTTCAGACTAGATGATGTATCCACATGTTGACAAGCAAATATAACTGCTTTTTTTTTTCTTTAAATTTTGTAAAGGCTTTATATCCATAGGTTTTCTCTTTGATGCTATGTACCAGTAGATCAACCTGTCTTAGGGAATACTGGTCAGCTGTAGAATGATAGCACATATTCCATCTGTCCACTGTTAGTCTTAAAGGTATTACAGGAAATGTATCCTTTCTTGAGAAACAACATATTCCTCTCCTTCGCATATAACATGGGAAGACGAAGGCCAGGTCTTGAAAGAACCCTAGCAAGATGTAGTTGTTTTGAGATATTAAGTGTTGTTATTGATGAAGTGATGTTGAACAACCAAGGAAAGACTAACTTTCCCTAGTCATAGTCCTTTTAGAAAGGAATAGAGGTGTAAGTATAGATAAGACCTTCCAGATAAGTGTTGCAGAAAGTTTATCTGTTGTCTTGATGGAGAAGTAGAATGTATGAGTAAAGAAGAGACCGGATTAGGATGGGGTGAAACATGAGGTATAAAGACAAGAATTAACATTATAGATAGTGTTTTGGTAATTATTATAAAAGTGGACCAGATATGAGAGCTTTTAAGAACAAAATGGTATAGCTGGTGTTAGAACTATGTTGTATGTACATGTTTATGCTTCTGAGAAAGCGTGAGGTTATCAGTTCAGCAAGAAGAATAAGGTAGGAGTCCATGCAGATTAAATTTTGAAGATAAGTGTCACAGAGTTGCAGTCTGTAAATCAAAATAGATGTCTGTCAAGAATCTTGAACTTGAGAAATAGGAAGAGAAGATGCAAGAGTTGAGTGAAAACCATATTTTTTAGATAAAAGCATGTTGACCTTGCAGAATCAGTAAAAGTAGCGCAGCTGCCGGCTGTGTAATGCGCTTTGAGAGAGAAGTGACTCTAGCAGTGGATGATTAGAATAATCTTTGTCAGGAGGGTAAGCGAAATGAGACTGAAATTATTTTTACAGACAGTGTTGACTTTGCAGATCTGAGTGAAAGTCCTACTTCAAAGGATAGTTGCCATTTACCAGATTTCAGAACTAGCACACATCTTAACCAGCAGAGTTATCTAATGTTGTCCTAGCAGTTGTTGAGAAGTGTCTAATTACTTGCATTGTTAATGATTTTGTGAATAAAATCACTACAGTTTGGTCAAAAATATTGTGAAGGAAGAGATAGATCTGAAGTAGTACCTTTCCAGAAGTTGTTACTTAAGACCATTTATGCCACTGCAGCAGTAGCATGTAGAATTTAGAGGAATAACAATTTTGGTGCTGCTTGAGAACTTTTAACTGTAAAGTATGGGCAAGGTTGCTTTAAGAGCATCCCTGTCTGTCTTACATTCATAATATGTTGTCTGAATAGAAATTGTACATCAGTTTGTTTATATGTCTTTTTTTGGTGCCACTACTTTCCTACCAAAGGAAGATAGGAACTGAATTAAATTAAAAAACCAAAAAAACCCACAGAAGAAACAAACAACAAAAAAAACCCAAACCCCAACTGGTATAGCCTTTTAAAATTAGTATAGCACAGTTACACAAATACATAAAATGTCCTTAGTTTATTTGCCTGTCCTATAAAAATTCCTCAAAAAGCTTAAGGTATTCCAATCCTGGTAACTAGATGTTGTTTCATCATTCATATAAATGTGTCCTTATAAAGTTTAAGTTATATTTTAAACATTTAACTCTGTGTTTACTATAGGAAAAAAAATCATAAGATTGTTTGCTTTACCAAAAATGCAGAATTGTGCATGTTCATTCAAGTAGTATTATCCCCTTCTGCACTTTTTTGGTCATTACATTGCTTTTTCTCAGAATCCAAAGTGGTTTTATTTGCATTAAATTCCCTTTAAGTTGCCTTTTTTTTTTTTCTTTTTCCTTGCAGTTTCAGAATAGTTGTTTTAAATGCATTACACTCCTGTGTGTCTGCTCAGTAGATTGTTTTGAGGATGTTCCATTAGATTAGAATGTCACATGCATTACAGCCATATATGCTATGCTGGTCACACAAGTCTTTCAGGGAGGTGAAGCTTTTCCTTTGAATATATTTATGTTACGGAACAAGATTAAGAATCCCTCTGGCAGGGAAAAGGCCAGAAGCAGATTACCAAATAGGATACATAATGTGGCTACCTATCTAGCTCCGAATAGGTTTACCTCTGTTGTAGTCAGCTTATCCCTTGGATAGATTTTTTTTTTTTTTTAAAATCTCTCATTATGTAAGGAGACTGTTATGTTAATTAACACAAACTGGATTACAAACCTGCTACCTTTTACTTCACTTAACCAAGGAAGGGGGCTTAATTATGTGTTGACTATTTGAGATGCAGCTCAAATCCGTGTTTTCTTGTGCAGTTCTTGCCCTTCATACTTTTCCACAAATTTTGAGGTGACAGATGTGCATCTATAACTGATATTTTATCACTAAGCAATACTCAACAGTTACTGAAGGTGAAAGAGTCATGTTAAGAAATTGCTGAAACTTTTAATGTAATATTTTAATCTAATGTTGGGGTTGTATCAATTCCCACAAAAATCATCAAGGTCACTGCAGTGTCGTGACAAGAATATGTTTGGTTCCACTGTTGGGGAGGGAAGAGGAGGGCTGTCCTTGCCTCACTGAGCAGTGCCAGCATAGCCCAAAAGTTGAAACTTACCTCAAATTTTCATCCATTGTACCTGTAGAAGATTTGACAAAAGCTCACTTTTTATATGACTAGTTTATCAGCTTCTGAGGATCCCAGTTTGAATGTGTGCAGCGCATTTCAGGATTCAAAAGTATCCAAAAGTACGTAGCTGAAGTCAACTGTATTATGAACTTGTTTTCAGTTGACATAGTGATAGTAGAGGTGGTGGAAAGTCTAGAAACCAGGAGCTCCACAGTTCTCTCACTACAGCTGGTTTTGATGATTGTCTGCACTTTGATTGTCATCTTCCTTAGGCTGATATCACTGTTGTTTTATAATGTGGTTGAATGACATCAGTAGACAAAGATGTTGAACTTTCATATAACATTAAACTGTAACTCTTTTCTCAAAATATCCATTTATGTTTCTCCATGGTAAGCATAGCTTCCATTTGAATATTGTAGGAGTTCTGGCTATGTAATAAAGTTCTGTAAAAATTGAAAATGCTTGAAGAATAGTTTTTCAATTCTAGCTAGCATTGATTTTTAATTTTGTGTCATGATCCTTGAATTGTCTGCTCAACTACTGATTACTTAAGATTCCATTTAACATATGCAAGTATGGAGTAGCTACAGTGAGACAGCAGCTTATGTATTTGATCTGTGCAAGCGCTTTACTGGATGTGCAGCAGTATCCAGGTGCAGTTTTGTTTTAAGGACTGGCTAAAGGAATATGTATCTTATTCTTACTGACACCTAAATCAATCACTTACTGATAGTTGATTTAAAAAAAAAATATTTTTTTTCTTGTCTCACTTCTTACATGGTGACAGTATTTGATGATGGTGATGAGAAGACTCTTAGACTCTCTTCCCTGTGTTTAAAAGGAGAAAGACATTTTGCTGAAAGCGAGGTAATTGAAGGATTTTTATATGACAACTTTTTATTTAGAAAAATTTAGAAGTGATATTTTTAGTACTTCAGTCTTCAGTATGTTATGTACATCCATGCTACTAAAAATGGGGATTATGTAAAATACAGTCTACAGGGTCTGGCTTAATCTTTTTTAAATCAAGAAATACATTTGAATTTCACCAGATTGTATAAGTTAAGAAATTCATTTTTATATTATTAATGGTTCATAGGTTGTAGATCATACAAAAAACAATGATCACACAACTACTTTGCTTTATATAAAAAAAATCTGTAAGTATTCATTGGAAAAAATCAAAATATGGTACATGAAAAAAATAACGTACCTCTTTGGACATAATTAAGTTCTGTTGGATTTTAGGTAGATCAAGTCTAATTTGAAATATCTGATGAACTTGAAAGATCAATACTTTTCTTTTGAAAGGTAAATTGTAAGTTCCTATTACCTGTTAATTTGAAGACAGTGATTTCAGATTATTTTGTCAGACTCAAAGAAACATTACATTCAGGTGACTTCTACTTTTTATTTTAACATCGTTCTTATCGTCTTAGCTTTTGCCTTCTTGCCAAAAGTCACTGACATGCAATTCATTGTCACCAGCCCTCAATGAAACGCATGTTGTGTGTTTCTAATGATTATCTCATGATTGCATAGCCACTCAGCAGGGAAAACTGCATCTTCAGTTTATTTTGTAATTAGACCAGTGCCATGTGATTGCCTTGTTCTGATGTTGATTTAACTTAATCTCTGACTACCCAAGCGTATGGGATCTTTTAGGGTGTCCACCAAACTCTGAAGTGATCATGCATTTACTTTAAGATTTGAAAAGCCAGTTCTATTGTCTCTGTGTCCAGTTCTGTGTAATGAAAAAGTCTCTCTACTGACAAAAATTACAGTAATCAGATTATACAAGTTTATGGCTTCAAGAATAACTTATGCCAGGTTTTTTATATTTATATCTGTTTGTTCATTTCAACAGACTCTAGATCAGCTTCCACTCACAAATCCTGAACACTTTGGAACTCCTGTTATAGGAAAGAAAACAAACAGAGGAAGGAGATCCAATCATATGTAAGTTTAACACCGTTATATCTGTGCTGTCTGTATTCAGTTCTGAAGCTTTCAGTGGATGCAGAGTTTTATTAGTTGTATGTTCGGGCTTCTTTTGTTCAAAAAACAGGAAGTGATATGAAAAGTGTTGTTTAGCATTCAAACTGAAAGTGAGTTTTACATGTAATGTTGTATGCAAGAATTACAAGTAGTCTTCATGTAATCAGTATTTAAAATAGTACCGGGTATAGGCAAGAGGATTTTTCTTTGTTATTTAAGTAAAAAAGAAAGTGGCATACCAAGTGGAAATGTGTTGTTGAGCTATATCTAGAAGCTCCTCTGTAGTAGAATATTAGTATTATAAAAGTGTTGGACTCAAACTAAAACCATTACAATGCAGTCTTAGTACATTCTGTAAAGACTTCGTATCAGCTGGATAAAAATCCTCATGTAGACCTTTGGTTTCTCATTACAAGGTCTCTGAAGGGCTTTTAGATATAGGTGAATGGTATTATGGTCTGCAGCAAAGCTAGTTGATAGAAAAACAAAGTTCGAGAGTATGGACTTGATTTCCTATCTGCCAAAATTCTCGGTAGTTGTGATCTTGAAAAAACAATGTGAAATACTCCACTGACTGGTGGTCTTTGTGGGTGGGGGGTTTTTGTGGCTTTTTTTTTTTTTATTTGCGTTTTGTTTTTAAAGTTTTGAGGTTGTAGTGGCTGGGGTGGGAAGGGAGTTTTCATGCTTGGATTACGCTTTCACACTCTGTCTTTTTGATAGCTTGAAATAAATATTGCTCTGTATATGTAGAGTTACTATAAATTTTATTCAATTATTTATTTACTAATTTGTGATGTATCGAAGGAAAAAGATGGGAAAAACTGTCATACACCACAGAGAATGTGGTTGCAGCATCCTTGGTGTCTGTGACTGGGTTGTGGTCTACCCTGTTTTCCTAACTGTACAGGACATGATTATGGCAGAAACAACATACTTTATCTTAGGTTTAAATCTGACTGAACTGAGTAAAAAGATAAGTTGCACAGATACTGGTATAACTAAGCTAGGTTGTAGTCTCTTTAAAGTAGTCCTGGCTTTCTCTCTAGTCCTTGACTTCTTTCTCTTCCCCGAAGAGATTCTCAAACCCCAGAAGGCAGCCTGAAAGGCTTTCATACTGTATTTTAAAAGAAATTATTACTTTAAAAAGGGATGTTGGGGGAAAAAAACAAAACAATGCTTTATCAGTACTGCAAATGATGACATAAAATTAGGCTGTGGAAAATGAAGTATAATAATATACACATCTTAGTGTGTGAATCAGTTGTCTTCTGTTACACAAATGCTAACTGTGAGTCTTCTGTTAATATTGAACTTTGTACTCAAAAGTAGTTATGTGAAAAAATGGAAGATAGCTTTTAAAATTCTGCTTGTTGTGCTCATTGAACACGCTGTATATTTTCTGAGCATTAACCTTCAAAGTGACTAGTAAAAAAATACGTAACTAGAGAGAGCCAGGAGTGCTGATATTTTTATTTTTTTTGATCAGTTGCAGGTAATTTTAGTTGGGAGTAGTTTTGTACAGTTAGACTATCCATATGGTTAAAACCAGGTGCAACTTTGTATTGGAACAGTCAAAACAATGAGATGGAACCTTTTTTAATCAAAATGTATTTGCACCTTTGCCCATCTACTTACATTCCAACACTTCATGCAATGTGAAATTGAAACAGTCATTGAAATGCCTCACTGCACATCTTTAGAGAACTGTTTCAGGATAAATAGACTTTTTCTTTTTGCTATTCATCTTCATAGCTGATGTTTCTTCTTTAGAGATTTGTCCTCTCTAAGTAGCTTTTTATTTTGTATGGCTGTTAAAGTAAAAGCATAGAGAGTTTAAGAGGAAAACCAAAACAGTTTAGCTTAGTTCTGGTCCAAAACTACAACTGCAACAGTATTTTTGAACAGTGCATCACGGGGGCAGAATTCTCATTTTGAATGTCCTGACAGTGTATTTCTATTCCTCCATATGGATGCATGGTGGTGTTTTGTTTGGTTTTTGCATGTATTACATGTAGATGTGAATTTGTAATGTTTAAGTTGTTGTTATATTATCCTCCTAAATACTTCTATTCATTTTTATCCTAAAATATTTAGCAGGCAATTCAAGTCACTATTAGTTATGCCTCTTTGACAATTAGCTTTGGATCTCCTGTAATTGTAATAGGCGAGTTTTGAATAGTTGAGTTCTAAGTCTTTTTCTTTTGTTTAGTCCTGAAGAAGAATCTTCATCCTCTTCCAGCGATGAAGATGAAGATGATAGGAAACAAAGTGATGAGTTATTAGGAAAGGTTGTATGTGTGGACTGCTTCAGTGTGGATAAAAAGAAAGCTCTTTGGTTTCCAGCCTTGGTAAGAGTTTCATCTTTATTTTACTTTTGTGAAGTTTCATTTTCTAGGCACCAAAGAAAGGTGGGATTTTTCATTTTTGATGGATTAAGCTATATTTGTATTGGAACTTAATATGTTTCTTCAAATTGGACCATATCATAATAGTCAAAGGAAATACTATATATGTAAATATGTTTGTTTACAAAAAGTAATTGCTCACATGGCTTTAGTTTTTCCAAACAGCAGAGCTTGTTGACCTAATTCCAGCTCAATAGTGTGTTTAGTATTACTGAACTAAAATTTCAGGGCTTCTTTCCTAGGCTATTGCATGTCATTTTTTTGAACTACCAAGTTTTATCAAGGAAGAAAATACAAAGAAGTGCGAAGAAGGGGTTTAGTTATTGCATAGACAGTATTTTTCTAGGTTCAATATAAACACATTTGATAATAACATCAAATGTTTTTCCTTTGTTGCTATGGTAGGTAGTAGAGAATTGCCAATAAATTTCCTTTAAAATAACACTGTAGTCTTTTAATACAAATATTTTCTATCTTCCTTTATTCTCATTTGAAGACACTTTCTTACAAATAAACTTCTAATAAAATATCACTGTTAGTCTAAGGACTGCATATAGATGGACTGATATATTTGGAAATTAATGTCCTTCCATATGTGGTACCTTCTAGTACCATGCTTTTTAATTTTTATTTTATTATTAATTGTAAATATTTGGATAATTTATCCCTGGCAATGAAAGCTTAAAATGTTTATCTAATGCCAGGAAGACTTGCATTTTGTTTTTGAAAAGATGCCATATGGTAAATCCAACTCTTCTTTAGTGTGTGCAATAGCTCTCAATTGCAACTTTCTACTTGTCACCTTCTGTGTCTTGTAATGCAGTCAAGAGACTTTCCAGCAGGACTTCTTTTGGAAAAGTTGGTGGGAGAGAATGAGTCATTGAAGCCTCTTTTACAACAGAGGAGAGGGCAGAATATGCAGCAAGGAAATACCATGTTAATGGCAGATCGCTTTGAGAGGTTTTCAGTAATAGACCAGAAAATCGAGCTGTTTCTTTACTGAAAGCTGTCATCAAGATTGATGCAATATCGCGTACCTCACAGTTGCACTCTGAGAAGCGGTCAGTTAGACTGGCTTGAGCTGTTTTATGTCACACTGTTGGGTTAGCCCTTGTGGTCATACACATGATCAGTAGCAGTTTCCATGGTAGCCTTTCTGGTAGGTATTAGGCTTGCATGTGACTGATGTAGTGCTTCTCAGGACAGCTGTGGGTCAGACCTTAAAGATTAACTGAATTGTTGCTTATTCTCCCAAGGTATACGAAAGATACACACCGTTACTTCTTTGGCTTTCATTTGGAGATTGAAATAGCTCATTTTTCACTGAAAGCTTCCTGCAATGAATGAGAAGCAATAGGGGGATAAAGTTTGAGGGTGGAGCTCATTAACTCTGAAATAGTTTATCCTAGATTAACTGTTATATTAGTAATTAGGTTTATAGCTCTGCAAATAAACATCATATTGCAATTAACCTGAAAGGTTGTGCCAAATAATAAATTTATGTCCCAAATAGCTTGCTGCTTTTTTTTATCCCCTCCCTTGTAGCTATCCCTCTCCATGCTTTTACCTTGTAAGCAGGTGATCTCTACTATATCAACAAAGCAATTTTATCTTATTACTGATAAATTTTGCTTTAGCTTTATATTCTGCTCATTTTAATTATGTGAATAATGAAATGAAAATTCAGATTTAATATGCTGAAGAATACATATCCCAGAATTACTTTGTTATTAATGATATTGTGTACAGATATACTTTGTGTATAAGCTCAGAGATCATTGTGCAAGTTTATTATGTGAAAAGAAGTTCAGGGATTAGTCTAAACCTTTACAGCAAATAACAGTTAAGATTAGTAGTGGAGACTGATAACTTTGGATATCAGTCCTGTAACCAGGTAGCCTGTAAAACTGTATAGGTCTCAGTAATTGGCTATATCGTTTTAATCCTGCATGGATGGGATTTTTCAGTTTTTGTTGTTTTTTCTTTTGGGGAGTGGGTGGGTTGAAAGCAATGGCTAATTGTAATTGTAAAAAGGCCTGGCAGTTGATCCTTATGTCAAAGAGTGTGATTTAGTAAGCCTTATGGCATTGCTTAGTTTTAATGTGTTCTTAAAGGCTTTAGGAAGGTGCAGTGAGGAGATCTGCTTGCAGCATTTTCAGAAAATTGAGTTTACATAGGATCAGCTCTCTCATCCTCCGATGACTACAGTGGAGTTTTTTTACAAGGAAATCGAGAAAGCTTGTTTCAGGCAAAATTGAGGTGATGTTGCTTAATGTAAAGGCACTAGATGAGGTTGTGGTAAGCTGTTTTCCAACCTCTGAATGGATTTCTGACTACTAAAATCTTGATGCTTCTAGAAAACCAATAGCTAAAGCCAGAAGGGCCTTTTTTCATCTTTAGAGAGTTAGGATATTGCACCTGTCTGTTTCAAATGGGGCATGATAATCACTGTCTTTTGCCTTGATATTAAAACACTGTTCCAAACTGTGTATCAAACTGCTTTTCAATTAGTAAGTTGCAGTTTTGTAAAGTAATTCTCTGGAGACTGTTGAATGCATTGAATTTGGAGACTTAGGCTGTTAAGTTTTATTTTTCTTGAGAAGCATACTTAGCCTACACTCTGTGATATACAACTCTGTTTCCAAATCAGATGGAGCTTTTGACTTAACTTTCTAAAATGCTATAATGCTGATGACCTGTGGAAGGAGGAAAAAACGCCTTTTGTCATGCAGTAGCTTTGTGTGTTTGGTGGAGAAAGTAGGACTGAAAGCAGTTGGTGTGAGAAAGAAGTATTCACCAGGGCTAAATTAGGGCTGCAGTCATGTGCTGCTCCTTGGGTTTTTTAGCAGCCAGAACTTTCTTAACTCTGCAGAGAACTACAGACGTTCCATTTGAGAGGAGAGAGATGAATGGCAGAGAGGGTTGCTTTTCTGTTCTATAACTCTGGAAATTCACTATACATATTTTATTAAATTCTTGAAGCTTTTTAATTAGTGACTTGTATACTAGTTTAACAAAACTTAAGTAACTTTTAAAATTGCAACAAATAATATGCTGTCTCAGTGCTAGACTTGATTAGTCTACCTCTTGAATTAAAGACCCTATTGTAATACTTGTACTTGAGGCACTCTTCTCTCCTACATAGATAACTTATGAATCCTCCATTATAAAATTGCATTTCATAAATCCTGTATGACTTTGGTTTTGAAACTGTGAGTGGTTACATCATTGCAATTTCTGGAAATTTTTCAGAAGAGGTCTCTAACTCAGGTGGCAGCACTTGGTGGAAGTTCTGTCCTTTTAGGATGAGAAGTAGAATAAGCTGTAGTGGCATGACAGATACTTAACTTTTGTCAGAATGCTGTTCTTCCTTATGTCTCTGGCAGCAGCCATCAATTTCCTCCTGGAAGCAAGCATGAGCTCATGCATTCAGTAATTTCAGGAGGTCATCACTCCTGTGTTTTGAGGGATCTCAGTTGCTCTCATCTCAGTGTCGCTTAAAAGAAATGACCCCAAAAGGTTTTTAAGAAGCATCGATATATACTATTACACTCTTGTTTTCCCTTTTCCTTGCTAAACTTTGCATTTGTAATATCTTTGCAGGTGGTTTGTCCAGATTGTAGTGATGATATTGCAGTGAAAAAAGACAATATTCTCGTCCGCTCTTTCAAGGATGGCAAATTGTGAGTAGGACTGTAAAGGCTGACAATTGAATAAAATCTGTACCAGTCAAGTGAAATGTAATATGAGATGTGTTGAGTAAAGTATTAGTAACATCAGTCAGTTCAGTAAATTTCTGTGAATATTTTTCAAATGTTTAGAAAACTGTTGACAGGCTGCATTGTGACGAAGTTAGTCTTCAACTTGTCATTATTAGTAATAGCATGCATAAATCTATCTGTCTTAGTTTTAATTTTGTTGTTACTATAGTGGCAAACAAAGCAGTATTTTGTGACTTAGAGAATGGCCTGAGACTCTTTCCTGCTCAGATTGGAATTAGAACACAGCTTTTCAGAGATGTGGCCGTAAGCTAATCCAGCTACAGAAGGGGGTGGGTGGGGGCATATGCACACGCATACACCACACGCAGAAATACTCTTTTCTTTTTTTGAGGTAGTAAGGCATATGTTTATCTCAGTCTAGACTACAACTGTGTATTCTCATGTTCTTTGAAAAGAGCTGTAATACCACTCAGAGGAGGAAAGAAAATAGAGAAACCTAGAAAACCAGTCTGTGTAGTATTTGCAATAGAATAAGGAACTTTGTGTTCTTAAACTTGTGTTGGTCGGGGGGGGGGGTGTGTGTTGATGAATGACAATAGAATTATTTTTTCTAGGATTTAGTTTTTATTTAAGAAATTGCAGCTGTTTATTCTGCCTGGTTAAATTTAACAGAATGCTTTTGCAGAAAGGATATCGAAATATTTTTTCATTGTGGTTTAATTACTTACAAGTCTAGGCTACCACTTATGATTTTATAGTTATTCAGGCATGTGGTGGGTTGACCCTGGCTGAGGGCCAGGTGCCCACCAGAGCCGCTCTATCACTCCCCTCCTTTTTATGAGACAGGGGAGAAAAGGTACAATGAAAAAAAAAAACTTACGGGTTGAGATAAGGACAGGGAGAGATCGTTCTCTAATTATCATCAGGAGTAAAACAGACCGAACCTAGAGAGGGAATTCAT